TTTGACGAGCAATATGATTGCAAGTTTTTGTGTGTGGGCACTTTGATATCTTGAAATAAGCATTTGCCGCATGACGCCACCAGACAACATTCTCTCAATTTCGGTGCTTAAAAACATTTATATCTTTAAAAAACTTGCTGAATAATTTCCTTAAACGTAATCATAAATAATCCAATAGGGAACAGGTTTTTATTTTGATTTACAGCCCTATTCGCGTGTTATCACAGTCGTCAATTGTCACAGCTCAATTGTCATTATCATGTCATCAACTGTTGTCATAGGTATGCACAGTCAATAATGACAAGCGAAAAGCTCGATTTATTTACCAATTGCGGCGAAAGCTTTTCTATAGTGAAACAGCTGTTCTTTGTTTACATTTTAATTGTTTTTTTTGACCGCCCCTGCAACAGACGGGATTTCTTTTAAATAAAATACACCGCAGAAATGGATTGCGAAACGCCGTATAAGTGAGTAATTTTATAATAGGGAGATTAATTTCATTGTATTATAAATTCGTGTAGTAACAGGCGTGGAAAATATGAACGCACCAAACAAGAGCAGCTGCAGTTTTGTGAAGACCACCCCGTGTAACGTGCAAACGTGTAAAAACTATCCAAAAACTGTTGTCTGGGAAGTCTTAGGGCCGGTTGTTCAATGTCTGATTTGCAGAAATCGGAGGTAGAAGCTCCGGTTAAATGCAACGACTGCTTTATCGATCACATGTTATAAGCATGGTGACGAAAACGTCGATAATGTTGTTTAACCGGCAAGTAGTGATAACCAGACATTGAACAACCGGCCCTTAGAAGTCTTCTTCTCTGTATAATTTCTTCTTGCACCACAATAATAGCCGCGTACAAATTATTATTTCCTTCATGAATAATATTCTGAAATGGATACTATTGTGATATGTATACGCAAATAATAAGATTTTAAACACCTATTTAGGCAAATGAAATGGTTTCACAGTTTTGTGTTAGTAAAATTTTGCAACTTTTTTCTGCAAAGATAATAAAATTGAAAATATTAACATATGTTTTAGCGTTATCACGTACTCAATAGGTCATCACAAAAATAATAGCAATTGTCACCGTTGGAGCTTTCAAATTGCCCTCTGCATACCTAAACGTGACTATTGATTATAAACATGACAATAGTTATAGCGGCGATAAAACGATGTTTAACCAGGGATTAGTGTCAACCAGGCTTTGAGCAACTGGCCCTTAATTTTTCAATTTGGCATAAAGTGCCAAAATGGCACTTCTCAAAAATAATAATATTTCAACACATTTTTCTGAAATACTTTGCGTGTACTTCTTTTTCTCAACTAAAATTTTCTAATTTCTAGAGATTATTCAACTGGTTTATTTTATTTCGGCATTGCGCTTTTGCTTTAGAAATGTGGGTCTTATTTTATTGCTGAATGGGAAGGATTNTTTTCTGCAAAGATAATAAAATTGAAAATATTAACATATGTTTTAGCGTTATCACGTACTCAATAGGTCATCACAAAAATAATAGCAATTGTCACCGTTGGAGCTTTCAAATTGCCCTCTGCATACCTAAACGTGACTATTGATTATAAACATGACAATAGTTATAGCGGCGATAAAACGATGTTTAACCAGGGATTAGTGTCAACCAGGCTTTGAGCAACTGGCCCTTAATTTTTCAATTTGGCATAAAGTGCCAAAATGGCACTTCTCAAAAATAATAATATTTCAACACATTTTTCTGAAATACTTTGCGTGTACTTCTTTTTCTCAACTAAAATTTTCTAATTTCTAGAGATTATTCAACTGGTTTATTTTATTTCGGCATTGCGCTTTTGCTTTAGAAATGTGGGTCTTATTTTATTGCTGAATGGGAAGGATTGCCGGAAGGGCCGGTTGCTCAAAGCCTGGTTGACACTAATCCCCGGTTAAACATCGTTATCGACGTTACCGACATCGTGTTATATGCATGGAGTCGAAAACGTCGATAACGATGTTAACCGATGATTAGTGTCAACCAGGCTTTGAGCAACCGGCCCTTATAAAAGGATGACACCTTTTTTGGCACTTTTTCTATTTGGCACATTTTGGAACTTTTTTATCCTCAATATGGCACCTCATAGCTAAAGATAGCTGGCAGCCCTTACCATAACCCTGCAGAGCTTGATGCAATAATAGCTTTGATCCACGATTGAGAGAATACAAAGGTTGCGCGGATCTCGGACCGCTATTCCTCTCTTAGGGCCGGTTGTTCAATGTCTGATTAGCACAAATCGGAGGTAGNAAATCCTTCCCACCAACCGGCCCTTAACGAATTTGACATAATCGTTGTTTGCATGACGTCACANATGCATGCTATCGAAGTCGTCGATAATGATGTTTAACCGGCAAGTAGTGATAACCAGACATTGAACAACCGGCCCTTAACGAATTTGACATAATCGTTGTTTGCATGACGTCACACTGGTGCAACTTGTTTACATTTTCCTTGCAACATTTTTTCTTCTTCTTCCATTCTTGCTCACGTTTTGGCATTTCTCTCTCGCAATTGCACCAGTGTGACGTCACACAAAAGTTATTCTCAAAAATCCTCTCTGATCGGCGCAAGCTTGTATTCTATCATTCTTGACTCTGATCTAATACTTTTCGTGCAAAGTTCTGTATAAATGTCAAACAGCAAAATTACTCTCTGAAGTGAGAGTAAAAAGTGAGTAACAACAAAAAGTACGGGAACAAAAAAAGCATTTTTCCTGTAAAAACGTCAACCAGTGATCACTTGACACTTTTCACGATTTTACCAAGAGAAAAAGTTCGGGTAAAATCTTGCAACTTCATTCTCTACACAACTCTCCAGAAATCGCTCTAATTTACAGGATATTGGAGGAATTTGGAGTACGGGATCATTTTTCCTGTAACTTCCTGTAAGTTCGTGTAAAAAAAACCAGTAAGTTCATGGAGTACTGGATCAGGGCTAATACAAGGAGGTATCAGTTGTGACAGCTCGATTTGACACTGCCTTAGCTCAGTAAAATAAAAAGAAAAACGGGAAGAAATTAATTCCCATTNGCTCTAATTTACAGGATTTTGGAGGAATTTGGAGTACGGGATCATTTTTCCTGTAGCTTCCTGTAAGTTCGTGTAAAAAAAACCAGTAAGTTCATGGAGTACTGGATCAGGGCTAATACAAGGAGGTATCAGTTGTGACAGCTCGATTTGACACTGCCTTAGCTCAGTAAAATAAAAAGAAAAACGGGAAGAAATTAATTCCCATTTGGGGAGAAATAGAAAATTTTATATTTTCTTCCAAACAAAATTTGCTTTCTTATAGTATATTCGTAATCAAATGAAATAAAATATGATAAATTACCTTTTTAAGAAAACAAAATATGTATACTGAGAAATAATAAAAAACATTCAACTATATTATTAGGCAAAGAATTGATAAAGAAGTAACACGTTTCTGCTAAGCAGTCAATATCATGAAAGAAAGAAAAAAGTTATTTTCTAGCTGTTGAAATCTCGACGCCATCTTTGTTGTAAGAAGTAAACAACGAAGAGAACAAAAAAAAACAGCGTAATTGTTGAACGCATGAATAATCATTTTTATTATGCAAATTCTTCTATAAAGCATGTTGTTATGTTAAATTATTCTTTGCCTTATGTGTGCACACGTTGTCACAAGCGAAAATTAAGAAAATTGCAGTAAAAAACCACCACCAAATTGTAAACAACGAACAAATGTAAACAAACGGCTAATGTCAAAGTCGCCCAACTTTTTTCCTAAATGCGAAGAAGGCGTGATCTTGTATTTTTGGTTCAAGAGTCAATAGGTTCGTTCGCGTAGCTGTTAATTGTTCATGTTTAACCAAAACTTACAAGTTTTTGCGTTCGCGTACGCAAAAAACTCGCAAAGTAGGGGAAATTGGGAGAGCAAAGTGACATTTCATTTTGAGGGGAAGCTGCTGGTTTCTGTTGGAAAAATTTTTGCCAACAGCAATTTGCCAACAGGAAAATAGCTGATCAAAAACAGCTGGTTGGCATTTACGCAAATCACAAAATTGAATTTGATGGTTTGGAAGTTAAAAATTACAAAATGCGACTAATTAAACTTGTAAGAAGTAAGTAGTTATTTGTTTAATCAATAAACTGTGCCAGGATACCACTTTGTAATGAGTTTTCGAACGTTTTAAATTTTACACTTTTGAATGTAAACAAAAATTATATCAGCTGTTCGTCTAACTTGCAAGTTTCTGCAAATTTTCTGTTCGCGTACTATTTTGGATATTTCTCTCTTGTGAGCGAACAGATGACATATCGCCGGAATTTGGCAGTTGGTTGGTTTCTGTTGGAGATTTTAAACGAACGCACCTAATATGGCGGAATTAAAGCGGAAGCTGCCAACCGATAACTTATTTATTGTTGCATCATGCCTGCAGAGAATGTACATTTACGTTCTCTGATTATACGTTCTCTGCTAATCAATCATTTCGTGGCCTTAACTGAACACACCTGAACGTAAATGTCAGCTGAATGAGTTTCAATTACAGTGCAGTGGAAAAGTGACAAGCAAAATTTTTGAAAATGGTTTTAGAGAGTACTATGATATGGTAAGTAATTTTATTTATATACGTTAAATTCCAAACAATTTTCAATATATTCGTTTGGAAAGTGAGTATTTAAACACGCTGAAGTAAGAATTATATAAAAATTGCTTGTTTTAAATAGAGGAGATAACACATCTGGCTCTCGTTTGCGGCATCTTATATGAATGTGTACATATGTGTCTGTTGTTTTCTTTTTATTAAAAGTTTCTTTTTACATTTATTCCAGTTTTGATAATAGTGATTACCAAAGAAATGGTGATTATTTTCCTACTCGTTTAAACGTGCAAAAGGATGGTATCAATCTGGTTTGTCTAACGAAGGTTCGTTCTAATCCCGAGAACAATGTTGGCCTTATGACAATATCCAAGTAAGCACAGTTATCAATTTAATAACTTTTAAACTAAAAGAATTTTAATTAACCACCTAGCACCATCGAAGTTCTTGCTACACTCACCAGTGATGTAGGTCGGATCTTCTCAAAAATGCATTTAATACAACCAAAAGGCGAAATAAATTTACTGACTGGAATACGAATTGCGCATGTAAGTTTTTATGACCATGAAATTGAAAAAAGGTTATAGTATTTCAAATCGCAGTTGGTTTTGAAGCACCGTCAAGGAAAAAATCATAAAATGCGCATTGTAGTATTTGTTGGTTCGCCTATCAAAAACGAAGAAGGCGAATTGGTCAAACAAGCTAAGCGTTTAAAAAAAGAAAAAGTTAATGTTGATATCGTTAGCTTTGGTGATCATGGCAACAACAATGAAATTCTAACTGCATTCGTTAATGCACTAAATGGAAAAGATGGCACTAGTTCCCATTTAGTTAGCGTCCCACGTGGATCAGGATTATCCGATGCATTACTATCATCACCCATAATACAGGGTGAAGATGGTTTGGGTGGTGCAGGATTGGGCGGCGCTGGTTTCGAATTTGGTGTTGATCCCAATGAGGATCCCGAATTGGCACTTGCTTTGCGCGTGTCAATGGAGGAACAACGCCAACGGCAAGAAGATGAGCAGCGACGCGCACTTTCTGAATCAAATGTTGCCGGTGGCACCGAGGTAAATACTGGCAACGCCAGCACAGGTGGTGAAAAAACTAGCGCCAGCACTGCTATTGTAGGTGTTGAGGAGCCAAACTCTGAAGAAGCAATGTTACAGCGTGCATTGGCATTGTCCACAGAAACGGTAGGAGAATTTAAATTCCATGAATAATTTTAATAATGCAATTTCATTTCGTCAAAAGCAGGAAGATCATTTGCCCGATTTCGCTAACATGACTGAGGAAGAGCAGATCGCTTTTGCCATGCAAATGTCAATGCAAGATGCAGGTTTGTCATGCGGAGAAAATATTTTTGCAGTACATATTTATACTTATTTTTCTTTTAATTGTAATTTTTGTTTCAAAATTGAAAAGCTGATGACACCGTTACTCAACAAGCTAAGCGTCCAAAAACCGAGGAAAACCAACCTATGGATGTTGACGAGGACTACTCGGAGGTAATTGGTGATCCCGCATTTCTCCAGGTATACCAAAAAGATAAACCTACTGCATCTGCTTTATTTATAATCATTTTCATATTTAAGAGTGTACTCGAAAATTTGCCTGGTGTGGATCCACAATCCGAAGCCGTACGAGACGCAGTGGGCTCGCTCAGTAAAGATAAAGAGAAGGAAAAGGATAAAAAGACCGATGATGGGGATCAGCCACAGTAAAATGTATTTACATTCGTAGGGGACATTCAACTTCATACCGCGTCAATATCTATACTACATTAATGCCTACAAATTAAAGCTTCTCCGAAGTAATTATTTTATAATGAAATTGCATTAAATAAAATGCTTATCAACTGGATTTTAGTTGTTGTGTATCTTTCAATGGTTTTAAGCTAAACGGGCGTCGGCCGCTGTGGTATAAGGCGCGCTTCCACTCCGCAGCACCTGGGTTCAAGCCCTGGTCAAAGCAGCATTGCAAAAAAATTTTGAAAAAAAGGTTTCTCTTAACAGTGCTCGTCCCTCGGCAGGCAAGGCAAACCTCCGAGTGTATTTCTGCCATGAAAAACAGCTCACAAAAATACAATCGCCGTAAAACTGTAAGTCCCTCCGCTTGGTGTTACAACAAGGCGAACGCCACAAGTCGGAAGAGAAGCTCGGCCGAGTACTAACATATGTGAAAGCGCTAATCTATTATTATTATAGAAACGGGTGGATTTTGGTAGTTGCCATTGAATAATAGAATTCACAAATGAAGCCAGTAAATCCAACTTTTAGATGGCTCATTAACTTGATTTTACAAGAATTTATATTCAAATATTTTTGATTAAATAATAGTGCTAAGTAATATCCCCAATATTATAGAAACATTTAAGAGGTTATTGTTTCTGGTAGTATGTATATTTTAATTGTGTCTCACTTAACGACTTCACAAAAATAATGCATAAATAATTTCATTACTGAAAGGAATCTCTCCAGTGATCGTGATTTTTAATTGCCACCTTTGTATTCCTTCAGGTGAAGCAACACCCAAGCTGGTACTACGAGCAAAGAAACGCACATGCCTCCACCCAGTATTATACGTTCCTGAAAAGGAACAATTATAAAATTCGTGGGAGATTTAGAGTTTACGTAACCGACCCCTCGTTGAGTATGTTACAAATCTCCAAGTGGATTTACTTACGGCTTTAGACACCTTATTTACGGGTGGGCCGGCAATTACAGATTGGCAACGGTGTTGCAATCCTTTACGGATGGCTGGAACCAGAAGGCGAACAGCGCTGTTTTGGAACATTTTCGACAATTACTTGAAATTTGGCGAATTTTACAAAGTGCTGGCAGAAATGCAATTCTGGTGTCACACGACGACCGATTCCAATTTGACAGTTTCTAATTAAGCTATTCAGCGGCTGTATTTGGCGGCATCTACCGTGTGACTGTTACAACTAAAGGCCCGATTATGAATACTTCGCGTAACTTCGCACAACCATTTGTAGCAGTGCGATAAAAATAGCTATATTTTACACGCATATGCAACAACAAGGATATGATCCTGATCAATCCCAAGATGGTCGGTTCTACGTACCGGATTGANTACTTCGCACAACCATTTGTAGCAGTGCGATAAAAATAGCTATATTTTACACGCATATGCAACAACAACGATATGATCCTGATCAATCCCAAGATGGTCGGTTCTACGTACCGGATTG